CCTGTGACAAGTACTTTAAAAGAGAATCAATCATTTAATGAGTTTGACCAGAGGAGAAAATAACTGATATTTATAAGGTGAATGGGAGGGAACTGGGCCAGAGAGGTGGAAGAAGATTCTAGGCAGAGGAAAGAGTACATGCACAGCACTTATGGGAGAAGGAACTTCATGAGTGCAAGGGTGTGAAACAATACATATGTGCGTGGCAGTATTAGAGACACAGAGATATTTGCAAGTTAGGGGACTAGAGGCCAAAATGACACAGTCAACCAGAGAAGAAAACAGCTGCAAGGAAAAGAAGACAGGAAGATGTTGCAGTTCAATTGCCAAGAACATAAATGTTCTAGAATATGTTCCCTGTCCAGTGTGTTTCTCATCTTTAAACCCATTTAAGAAGAGAGTAACAATTCATGATCCACAAAGAGATAGGAACAAAAATTTTCATATTGGTAATTGCTCATCTTTATAGAATGCTGTTTATTAATTGCTTTTTTCCCAAAGAAATCAACATGATCTAAATCTCAGGTAGAGAATACTGTTGTCCTGACTAGCTATTTTACCATTCTTAAGTGCTGCCCTTGGTCAGGTGCCATTCTGCCTTGTTTACCACATCATTGTCAGTGTCCAGAACAAAGCCCAAGACATAATAGATGCTCAATAAATATCTGTTAGACTAGTTAATTTGTAAAAATCAGTGAACTTTTCATAATTTTAGGGACATATTCTTTCATAGCACTCTAGGCAAGCAGCATGTGAACATATCAACTACATCTATTCATGGCAGATCAGACATTGTGAACTTTCTCCACTCTTATTCAATTCAATTACCTCAGAATTCATTCATTTATTGATTGTCTTAAAAAATTGAGACGTAATATTTGTATGTATTTTTATGGGGTATATTATGATAACTCAGTTTACATCTACAATGTGAAATAAACAAATTAGAGTAATAAGCGTTTCCTTCTCATCAAGCATTAAATCAATGTTAGGTATTGGGAATGATAATACTCTTCCTTTCTAGATAGTTTGAAAAGTTTCAAGCAATTGTGTTAGTCAGCTTTGCATAGCTGTGACCAAAATGCTTGACAAGAACAACTTAGAGGAGGCAAAATTTATTTTGGCTTAAGATTCCAGAGATTTAGAACATGGTTGACTGTGTCCATTGCTCAGGGCCCAAAGTGAGGCAGCACATCATGGTGGAAGAGCATAGTGGGGGAGTGCTGCTCCATTCACAGCAGCCAAGAAGGGGAGAGAGAGAGAGAGAGAGAGAGAGAGAGAGAGAGAGAGAGAGAGAGAGAGAGAGAGAGAGAGAGAGAGGCGCCACAAGGGAGATGAATGCTTCTAAGGCACACCCACAGCAGCCCACCTTCTCCAGCCACATTCCACGTGCCTACAGTTACTAACCAGTCACTCCATTTAAACTGGGCCGGACTGACCTCCAAACATTCCTGCATTATCATAGAGTTTTKGGGGGACACAACTCATATCCAAACTATAAAATAAATAATTTCCCTACTGTGCTAAAAGAAAAAAAAACAGAAGTAATTTCTCTACTCTTTACTGTGATTTTGATAACTCTTATTGAACTTGTCAATGGTTTGATTTTACTCAGCGTCTAATTAATAAAATATTAATTGTAAGGATTGATTTATAGTTTATTTCTTACTTTACCATTCATTTATTTTAAAAATATACTTTGAAATATGATCAAAAATTCATTTGATTAGTACACTATGTTTCTGTCTTTTCTTTCTCCGTCTTCTCCTTTTCTTCTTGCACTGGTATTAAATACAGGGCCTCCTCATGCTAAGCATGCACTCCATTACAGAGCAACACTGTCAGACCTGCATACGCTACATTTCATTGAGGTCAATTTTGAAAATCAAGTTTTGAAGAAATATGCACAGCATTAGAAAACATTTCACTTATTGGAAAATGCAAAAATTTAAATATTTTTCACACATTGGAAAGGATTCCTTTTTAAGAATTGGTGCAAACCAACTGGTGTCATAAAAAAATGACACTAATTGCAAAATCTCTTCTTAGAGATCTGTAGTTAAGTCAACTTTGCCACATAAAGTCTGGAATCAGTGTTAAGGGAAGGGAGTTGAAGGACTTGGGAGTGAGGAGCGACTTAACACTAAAGTTCAGTAGGAGACCAAGACAGAGAGCCACTGGTGGAGAGGTACTGAAAACACAGGGTCACAAGGAGGAGTTAGGGTGGGTGATGGAGGACCACAGATGCATGGAAGTACACAATGCAGGGAAGTGAGATGCCTGTAGTGATTGACTTAGAGAGCACTTAGAATGCTCCAGGTTTTGTTCTGAGTATATTTGATGCAACATATAATTTAATCCTTGTGACAATTCTTGGAGGTGAATAATTGTGCCTGTTTTATCTCTACTTCCACCTTTAAATACAAMGTCCTTTAATCTTGTTTCTTTTCCCCCTTAGATTTGTGTCTCTCTTGCTTTTGAGTTCCCCCATAGACAGACATCCTCTAAAGACCACATCTTTCCATGTGAGTCCCTCTTCCAGAGGGTCTGGCAGAGGGCAAGGACTGGCAGAAATCATGTGGCTCAGTAAGAGCAGCCCATATGTGTACATCAGTGGTAAGTGGGATTTTTATGTTGTCCTTAATATATTAAGTTACTGGTTTCTGAAATTAGAAAATTATGAAACTTGGTGGGATAGACTTGGTCCATACGCTTTGGACTATAGACTTTTCACCTCTTTAAGGACCCTGTGGTTCTGACTTTCTGTGATGTCTATGAAATAAAAACAGCCAAACTTCTCTATAAACCTGTCATAAGCATTCTCAGTGGATTACTTTTGCATGCGGAAAGTACCACAGATAGCATCTAGGAATATTTTGGAAATCTTTTAATGAATCAAACCTGAGAGGTTACTGGAGCGGCCCAAGACATACAGAAAGTTGCTCCTTGCTTTGGTCTGATGCACCTTTTATTTTAGTGCAATGGAAAACCTGTTCATATCAGTGGAATTACATTCATAGCCAAAGGACATTCCTAAAAAGAATCACATCTAGGCATGTTTCATTGTCTCTTTAAACTTATGTCAGATGCTTCAAACCTATTTAATAGAGGAATACATTTCAGTGGCTATACAGTCTAATCAAAATACAGTCAATAAGTTGAGAGCTTGTTATTTAGAGTAATTTATATTTCACTCTTTTGTTTAAAAAATTTTATCATGAAACAAACAAAACCACCATTTTAATTGCCCAGTCAGTTACCTAGGATGAAAGATGACAATAAATATCTATGATGACTTCTTGTCAAATTGTCCTCTGCCTTCTTTGGAATGAGGAAAAACATGAGCCATCCTTAAGGCTGAGGGACAGGCAGGAGTTTGGAAACATCCTATTGTCAAAGCTATGATGACAGTCTGAGTAGATTTCTGGAACCTGAAACTAGTTTGCTTCTTGCTTCTGAAAAGCTTCACGCTAGAGACCATGATGTCATCATTAAGTCATTAACAGGATGAGGGGTATTTATGAAGTCATACCTGCAATAACACAAGGATTTAAAAATACGGAAATGGATGGATGGCAATTCCAGTCTCATGCTCATGAGCCAGGCTGATTTTACTAGCAAAGGCTCAATGACAAATTTATAGATGTGGAGACAATGGTCTAGTTCATTATGTGGCATTGGCTAATAAACATATCATGGAAAGAAGACATACAAGGCAACCCAGGCACTAATTTTGAATCTGAAAGTGTGCTCAATAGTACAGTATGTTTGACTCTGTGCATAATAGTGTTACCATGGTCATCATGTTCAAGAATTGGAATGATGTGAGTGACATGATTGGCTTTACCAACAAGTTTCTTCCAAATATCCCTGAGGAGATTTAAGCCAAACAAAATGTTAGAAGTTTCTCCTTTGTGGTCAGACTTACCTGGTTTAAGTCAGTAATTGAAAAGAGGTTCAGGAGGATGAGTCAGAATGCCATGTCATTGCTTTCTGAGGAGCTGAAAGTGCACAGCGTGTATACTTTAATCTTCCTGGTTATGCACTTAAACATCCAGTTTAAGTGCACTTCAATTCAAAATTTCAATTACCCCATTCTTTTTCACTTCTCAYAGTGAACAGTTTTAGATGGCAGTAAAGAGAGAGACAATGTTACAGGAGTCCAATATAGGAAAGGAGTCCAATATAAAAAAGTTTCTGGTTTCTGAAATTAGAAAATTTGAAACTTGGTGGGATAGACTTGGCTTGGCTTTATTTGTGACAGGGGAGATTCTTGGAGGAAATACGCAGGCTACATTTAGCTAACGCCTAGGATTTCAGGTCTAGGATCTCCGCGGATGCGTTTTCCATAGTAATTCATCTTTGGTTTCATTATTTTCCTGTAGTCCAGATTCCTTAATTTTACTTACTTAGGTCCCTAAGTTACAGCAATTTTTTCCTATCACTGTCATACCAGGAACTTTCTAAAACAAGAGACCCTGAAGAATGGTGTGTCCAGATAGAGTCCAGTCTGAACCTCAATCAGATGTCCATAGGCATTTTATTCCAGTAAAGATTAGTACACAATTCTCCCTGGAGTCAACCCTGTAATAGGTGGGTGATAGGCAGCAGTGACAAATAATGCAAACTCTCCAGCTCTGGGCTGTTTTCTTGGGTCTAATTGCCCCCAGGGCAGGGACCTCSTTGGACAGCGAGGGCAGTGGGCTGGGCGGGGCCTGAGCGGCCAGCAAGCTGGGGAGTGAGTCTTTGTACAGTCAGGGCTTCTGCTGGGCAGGGCCAGCGCTAATCCAGCCGGGCGGACACCCGGGCGGGGGAGGGGGAGATGGGGCATATAGGTGGCGTCCGCTGGTGAGAAACACCTAGCACAGGTAAAAGGGTGGCGGCCCAAGGGAGTTCCCACCTGTTGAGTTCTTAAAGAAATGAAGACTTAAGAAAATAGCAAGGAGGGGCTGATCGGTGTCTTTGGAGCCCCACCCTCGGCCACAGGAAAAGCCCCTTGGGAGAGAGGCAGGCGCTTCAGAAAAACTAAGAAAAGCACCGCTTCGCCTCGCACTCCTGCGCGGGCCCAGCCTGCAGCCGCTTCACCCGGCAGAGCTCTCCTACCCCGGCCCTCGGGTGCCTTGGCCGGCGACCGGACCTATCCTCTCCATGGCGGCAGCTGGACCCACACGCTCCAGGATCGGAGCCCTCTGTCGGCAGCTCCTGCTGACCCTCTCCGTGAGTGCCTCCAAGGCCACTGGCTCGGGGAGGGCGGTTCGATCCCCTGGGAAAAAGGGAGAAAACTTGGGGAGCTGGGGTTGGCCAGCGAAGCTGGAGTTAAGGGATCTAGTGGTGGTTGCTAAACATGGAGTAGGGGGTGGGGGGAGGGCAGACAGGAAGAGGAGCGCGACCTGGGCGCCCGGATCCCTAGGGGAGGGAAGGGCGTCTGGGGTAGATGTAATCAGCGCGAGCAGATCGAGAGGGAGGCGTGAGCTGCGAACGCCCATCCAAAAGCGTAGCCTCTGGGTGCTCGCCGGGGAGCCGGGTGCGCCTCTCCCAAGTCGGGGGAGTGCGCATCCCCTCGGCCTCAGTGCCGGCTTCAGGCCAGGGACAGGGCAGCCGCTGGGCGGACCCGACTGAAATAGTGTCCTTGGGTGGAAGAGGGGACTCCTGGTCTTTGGGGGAGGGGGAGGGGATTGATCTTGGTGTGCGTTTGGATCTATGTGGGGGATCTTAGGGAAAAGGAGAGGTTCCACTCTGCTCCTGAAGACAGGCACCCAGGCGGACACTAGGTGACCCTTTGAATAGTTTCCATTGTTAGCGTAGGAGGCTTCCGTCCCCCACATCATTGGGGGAAAAGGTCATCCTGGTACTGATCTCTGGTTCTCAGAGGCGTCTGGATCCCACCCACTTATCRTTCCCTTGCTCCAACTTTTTTTTTCCCTCTACATGTACAACAACGTCGACTTCACTCCTTCCCAGAGCTGGCAGCCAAAGCAGATGGCCTTATTTTGGACAGGACAGTTCCCCCCTCTCAGGCAGAAAAGACCGGATTTCGCGGGAAAGTCTGAACTCCTAAGTGGGGAAGGAGCTCTTGAGGAARTTTGGAATCAAAGGTGCCCCAGACGGGGCTTTTCCTGGGTTTCCTGCCAGAAAACGAAAAAAGTTTAATTCAGCAAGGTGCGAAAAGGTGCTCAATACTGCCCTTTCGTGTTGAGCCTTCAGCTTGGGCGCAAGTCAACTTTTAAAGACATGGGGAGGACCTCAGGGAACAATGGAAGAGCGATTCCTTCTGGGAGTGGTGGAATTGAGAGGCAGAAATATTCGAATAACCTCCTCTTCACTACGCTGATTTCACAAAGGATTTCTAAATTTTTAAATTGTAGGTTTTACTATTATTAGAACGTTTTTGGACTTTAAACCCCTAACCAAAATCCCGAGGGCATTATTAATAATTTAGCACATAGCAGTTAACATTTTATAGTTGAAGAAACTAAGAATAAATAACGGTCACAAARTATATTGCTGATGACAAAGAGATGATTTTTGGTTTGGTTCTTAATTAAGTTGTCATTTCCTTTTCAACCACTGGTCATTATTATTTAAAGGAAAAGGTATGCTTCAGGTACCACAGTAAATAGCGTTGCTTTGCAGATATCTGCACTCAAAGCTTTCTGTGTGTCATCTTAGATCCTTTATAGAAGAAAGCACAGTTTGACGGAATGAACTGAAATTGAATCCACCCTCCCTTCCAAGATCTCCTTTAGTTTCAGAGTTTGATAGGCCAAGAGTGAGGCAAAGAGAAATCTGGCCCTGCCTGAACTCCTCATTGTACTTTCAAGTGTTGTTCCATGTTGTAGTGCATATCTGTTCAAAGTCCTGCCAGCCTCGGGTGGTTGGTGTGGTTGTGAGCAATGTGTGCAGACTAAGTGTGAGATATTAAGTAAGAATGACATTAAGGGGTGGGGCACCCTTTGCATTGTGTCCTTCCCATGCAATTTAGTAATCCTTCACCATTCCACAAATCAGCTTCTTCCGACTTCCTAATATTTGTTCACCTCCACTTAACCACTTGAACTTTCTTATGCTTAAACACCTAATGAAGCCTCTCAGAGATCTCACAGGCCATCAGGGATGTCCCTGGCCCAAATAAGAGACACTTTCCATTCTTTGTACAATGCCACTTTGTAGATTACATATATATTCTTGAAATTCACCCCCACCTCCCTTTTCTGACCTTTCTGATCACTCAGAATCTGAAGCTACCTGGTTTCTTTTTTTTCCACTAGTGTGTGTGTGTGTGTGTGTGTGTGTGTGTGTGTGTGTTTAAAGAGACATGACATGAGATCTACCCTCTTAGCAATGTTTTAAGTGTGCTAATGATGCAGTTTTCACTATAAGCACAGTCTTGTTCAGCAGATCTCTAGAAGTTTTTCATCTTATATAACAGAAACTTTATACCTAATAAGCAACTCCCTATTTTCTCCACACCACGGCACCTGGCAAACGCCCTCCTATTTTCTGCTTCCATGAGTTTGACTGCTTTTTCCTCCAATCTTAAATGGTGATTTTTTCTTCTGGCCTTATTTTAGGTCCTATTCCTTGAAATTGACACCCTTACTTAGACCATTTCATTCACTTGTGTTGCTTAAAATATCACAAGGATGATATTTAGGATATCAACAAATCCTAAATTGCTAGTTCAGATGTCATCACTGAACAATAGGCCTTTATGTCTACCTACTAGGTGTGATGCAGCATTCATTGACTTCCCAGACAATGTTGCTTCTCTTTTAGTGTCCTATGTTTCAATGTATGGCACTCCTATATGCCTTTCTCCTCAAGTAGAAGACTGGAAGCTGTTTATTTTTTCTTCTTTACTGCTTTCCTCCCCTCTCGATAACTCTGCATTCAAAGGTATCTCATTGATCTGTTTACTTGTATTTATCACTTCTGCTGCTAGTTTTTACTATTACAAATAATGTCACAGTGAATAAGCCTGGTAAGTTATTTCACTGTGGGAAAGTATAACAATAGAATACCAAAATGGAATTGGTAGGAAAAAAAGTATAAATTACTCTATAATTGTGGCAGATACTATGTTYATACACAATAAAGTTGTGTATGACTAGATGAAAAGCTTTTTTATAATACATGGCATGTCACTAATATGTATGATGTTATTAAATAAGAACAACACTACCTGAACTCATTAGAAATTGGCTAAAAGATAAAGTAGAACTCATGCTTTATGCATAACACTATAGAAAACTAAATAGATGAAATTTTTAAATGTAAAATATGATAGCATGTGAGTTATATAAGCAAACACAATGAATTCTTATAAATTTGGAGTCAAGCTGGACATGATGGTGCATGTCTGTAATTCCGGCTATTTAGGAGGCTGTGTCAGGATAATCCACCTGGGTCCCCTGCCAGAATCCAAGTTAAGAGCAGCCTTAACCACTTTGCGAGATCCTGCCTCAAAATGAAAATAAAAAGGGCTGCAAATGTAGCTCAGTGAGAGCATGCTCCAGGATCCAACCCCCAGTCCTGAAATAAATAAGTAAACAAACAAACAAGTAGGCCCATTTATGACTTACTTCAAAAGCTGTTTTTAWAATTGGGAAAATCATTTATATAACACACACACACATACACATAAACACAGTTTCCAYAGCAAAAAATACGAACTAAACAAAGAAGAAACACCATAAACCTTTTTTTTAAAGTTAAAATGTAGTTGATAAATTGAACAAAGTATTTGCAAACCATGTTTTAAAAGGCTAGTCTAGTATAAAGTGTTTGTATAAATTAAGAAGAAAAAATTAGCCAGATGGTATGTTGCACACCTGTAATCACAGCAGTTTAGGAGACTGGAGGCATGAGGATCGTGAGTTCAAAGCCAGCATCAGCAAAAGGGAGGTACTAAGCAACTCAGTGAGACTTTGTCTCTAAACAAAATACAAAATAGGGCTGGGATGTGGCCCAGTGGTTGAGTGCCTCTGACTTCAATACCTGGTACTGCCCCCCTACACACACACAAAAAAAAAAAAGAAGAAAAAATCAACGTGAACCAGGCCAGGACATCAAAAATTTTTTTCAGGTGACTGTATTCAGTCATATCAAATGCAAATAGGGATTGTTGTATCTTTTCCAATTCATGCCTCTAATATCTGCCTATTCTCCTACTGATAACTGCATTATTTTAATTATTGAGACTTTATAGAATCTCTTAATATATGTTTGAGCTAATGTTCTTTTGTGGCTCCTCTTTTTCATAATTTTTTTTGTCTAATTTTAATCTTTCCTATGACATTTTGAATTAACTTCTTTAATTTCAGGAAATATTCTGTTGAGGCTTTGGGTTTTATTTGGATCATAAAATTTATGATTTAACTTAGTGAGAACTGATGTATTATGTTGTTGATTTTTCCAATCTGAGATAATGATACTTCTTTCTTTCTTTTTGTGCAACTCTACTTTTATGACCTGAAGAAATACTTTTTCAGGTGTTCTTCAAATGGGTTTTGCAAGTTTCTTGTTAAATTCATTACTTGTCATTCTAACATCATTTTATTGCTTTTGAAAATGTCTTATCATGTCATCTAACTGGTTTTATTTATGGGTAMGAAGAGTAAAGTTGTCTATATTTTAATAGCTATTTCTGCTGCCTTGACTGAATTCTGTTATTCTTTATGGTAACTTATTGGTTCATTTCCAGGTAAAGTGATAGTAAATGAAGATATTTCATTTCCCCTCTTCCTTTGCAATTCATATGTTCTTGCCTAATATACCTTCAATGTAATGTGAACTATATATGATGAGCTTGGAAAATCTATTTTGCTTGTAAGTTTAGCAGAGTTGCTTCTGGTGCTATTCCCATTGGTTATAATATATAAAAATCACATTGCAGAAGCACTCATTGATTCCTAGATTTTGAGGCTTTTTTTTTTTTCAAAGTGGACTGAGACCTCACTTTTATTGTTACCATTGTTTTGCCCTCATTTAATTTGATAGTGTTGTTTTAGTGATTAGCTTTAAAGGTTATTACTCAATCTTCAAATTCATTATCATACWAATGAAGTTATTTTCTTGTTGAGCTCAAAGATAAGAATGATATTGAATTTGGTCAAGTACCTTTAGGTCACTAGGTGGTGACCATATGCCAGGCCCAATTCATGGCTCCAGGATTCTAGACCAAGCAAGTGCTGTGAATGTGGATCAGAAATCCACACAAGGTCTAATTTTCTTTCAGCTCAGCTTTAGAATGAGGAGTTAGCATTTGGGAAGCCCAGACTACTGTGGCAATGGTCTTTTCTTTGATTGTTGGTGATTTTTCTGCTTTGATTTCATTCCTTCTCTGTAGAAGTCAGCAAATTAGAATAGAATCTTTGCAGATTGGAATTTGTTTCTGGGTTCCTCTTATTGCTCTGTATTCTAGCTTTATCTTCAGTTTTTGCCTAGCCATTCCTTATTATTTTTAAAAAATATGTTATCCAGCATTTCTGGTTAGTTTTGGTTTGGAGTTTTACCTCACTTTGCCTGCATTAGAAATGAAAGTTGTTCCCTCCATCCATTTTGTACATTGCTTAGACTTATATTCAAATATAAAAATGCAAATGCAATTTATTTGCTTGAACAAATCTTCGGTTTCTTCTCATTATTATTCTATTTTATTTTTTATTTTTTGGTATTGGGGATTTAACCCAGGTTCACTTTACCACTGAACTACATCCTCAGTCTTTTTTTTTTTTTTTTTTTTTAAAGATAGGGTCTCACTAAGTGGCTGAGAACCTCACTAAATTGCTGAGGCTGGCCTTGAACTTGGAATTCTCCTGTCTCAGCCTCCTAAGCTGCTGCAATTAYAGGCATGTGCCACTGAGCTCACAGATTTCTTATTATCTTTAGGGAGAAAAATTCATATAATTGGTTGACATCATTTAGAAACTATTCCTCACCTAAATCCTGAATTCATTTTAAACCTCTTCCTCTTTGTATTATACATATCAGCCATTCTAGGTTTCTTTCTCAGGTCTGTGTCATATCTTTGGGACTTTATATTATGTTGTTTCTGTATTTTGAATTTAAGCTCTGCTCTTGCCGTGGCTAACTTATTGCCACTTTTCAGGTAATTTAATATGGCTCTCAGCCCAGGTTATCCCCAACTCTCTCACTTTTTCACAGTGTCCCGCACTTCCCTGACATGGGAAGTACATATCAGGGAATCACATGAATGATGTATATAAATATTTGTTGAGCATATGAATGAATGGATGCCAGGATGCCACTACACCTCCCTCCCCAAATTGTCTGAATCCAGCCATTTTTTCAGTTTCTCCACCATGATTACCTTCATCCACTTCACTGTTGTCCCTCTTAGAGTCCTGTCATGTCCTCCTAATTGGCCTGTTGGCTTCCACTTTCTCCTTATTCATGATCTGTTCTCCACAAACTTAGCAGATGTATTTACCACTCCCCATGCTCTAAAACTGCTGTGGCTTCTTTTTGCATTAAAACAAAAATCTGTTTCTTACCCTGGCCTTTTAGACTGTACATGATATGCCCTGACTGACCATTTGCTTTATCTCCTCATTCTTCCCCATTCTGTTCTTGGCTCTGCAGGGCTACCATGAGCTCTGGGGAAGTCCTCTTCCAAGGCCTTTGTTCTGGTGTTTAGCCCCACCTGGAAGACTTCCCCAATGTAGGAACTGATTTGTTTCCTCACTTCATTTAGGCTTCTGGTCTTCTCTTTGTCATCTTCTTTCTCTGATCTATTTTCCTCATAACCTTTATCTTTCTTTGCCTTGGGATTATGTGAGATTTGTGTATTTATTTTTTTGCCTCTTATTACAATGTAATCTTTACAAGGAAAAGAACTTTGCTTTGTTCACTGCCTATAGCCTTTAACTCTGTTGAACACCTAGTTACCAACCAATAAATGTTGGTTGAACGAATAAGGATGTGTTCTGTCAATCACCTTGAACTAGAATCCTTGGAATCATCTGATCCTGCTCCTACGAGCTCTCAACTTGCTGCCAGTGGAAATTCTTCTCATTTTTTAATTTTCAATTCAAATATAATCTCTTCATTGTGTCCGTCTTTAATTTCCAAGTAAAACACAATCTCTTATCTGATCCTTTATATGTTATGTAAATTGCACGATTACAGGTTCCTTAGTATGTATTGCAAATAAAAATTTCCTTCCAAACTTAGATGGTAATAGCTTATATTTATGAATTTTGTAGATAACACAGTGTAAATGCCAGTTAGCTGTGTTGGTTTTGGCTTTGGTCAAATGCCTTTTCAAAACTGAGGAAAAAAGAATGTAAATATTTCAGAAGCAGCCATTGTCAAGTTTCAGAGAGAACCGAATTAAATTTCTACATATTCAAATATATGTTGTACTGGGATGGGTTCATCATAAATCATTAAAAAAATTATTAAGTAAAACTATTTTCTAAAATAACCTTAAATTAACTTTGACTTATGAGAAGATGCATCTTCACAGTAAGTTCCCATATCGAAAAGTTGCATTGTTTGTGTGAAGTAATTACACATAAATACTCACCAAATCACTCCCTGGAGTTTTCTTTAAAAGCACCATATTTTCATATTGGAGATTTTGGAGATAATGGGTTTGGTATCATAGCTCATAGTCGATTAAAAATTTACTGCAACAATTTGCTGGGTCATTAAATTCATTTTTACTCCTCATTCCTATTTATATCCCTGTGCTGTCTTTAAAACTGTCTTTAGTTTTAAGTACTCTCTCACATAGGTTGTTGAATCCTTACTAAACCCACTAAGTTATTCAGTGCTGTTACAAGTAAATAAATTTTATAGAATAGGAAACAAAGCTTAAGAATGTACATAATTCTCTTGAGTTTATGTGCTTTGTGAAGGAGGGAGATAGGACTTTTATTGTTTCATTCACCCGTTTGATAAAATTTTCTTCTGATTTGTTACTCTAGCGTGTTTTTGGTTTTATTTTGCTAATTATATAGACTGATTCAAAATTATATAAATTTTATTCAATAATACATATATTTACATATCTAATATTTTATCTATATAATTAAGTGTATATTACTTAAAATATAAATAAAATTTATATAAACAATGTACTCATTAAAAGGATCTTTTTAAGGCATAATCTGGATTTGTTTTTTTTAATAGATCTTATCATTTGCCTGTGACGCCTGCAAACAGGTGATACTACATGTTCCTTCAAAATTAGATGCTGAAAAATTTGTTGGCAGAGGTAAGATACTACTAAAAGTATGTAATTACCCTAATTTGTGTGATCTGTTAAAAGCTAGTGTAATTTTTAAAACTATAACTGTATTAGGGAATAGTTAAAACTAATAGTCCTTTATCATTTTTAATCCTTGTATCATGTCAGTGAAAGAATATTAGTCTTTGTTTTAAAAATGTGCAATTATTTGAAGATAAAAAGCTTTAGCTTGAGTAATGAAATAATTTTAATATTAGATGAAAGATATGGTATAGGCTAAATATGCTTCTAAGAAATTGAGAAATATATTGAAACTATTTCTTGAATTTAAAGATATTGTTTTTGAATTTTCATCATGAAATATTTTGACATCTTATTATATTTTATTTCCATGTACTGTTTTTTATTGCTTAAGCTTTTTATATAACTCACTTATATAAGGAAAGATCAAACTAGTGAGAACACAGAATTTGATGAGTATTTCACAATAGATGTTATGAGTTCTGTGTTATTTTAATTTAAGAACCACTGCTTTTAATCAATTAGATTGTGTTAGACATACTTCAGGTACTCTTATTCCTCTACAGCTAATTTCAGTTAATAAAAACATTTTTTTCACTGTTGGCTTAAACATTCAAACATTGTTTCAGGACAGACATTTTAAAATAAGAATGTAAAAAGTAAGCCAGGTGCAGTGGCACTCACCTGTAATCTCAGCGGCTCTGGAGATTGAGGCGGGAGAATCACAAGTTCAAAGCCAGCCTCAGCAACTTAGARAGACCCTAAGCAACTCAGTGAGACCCTGTCTGTAAATAAAATATACAAAGGGCTGGGGATGTGGCTCATTGGTTAAGCATCCCTGGGTGCAATCCCTAGTACCAATAAATAAATAAATTAAATTAAATAAGCATTAGAAGTGATGTTTGTGTTTATGCACAGTGTAACCCACATAGTTTCATATATCCTTTTTTGGGGGGCAGGTACCAGTGATTGAACTCAGTGGCACTGGGCCACTCAGCCACATCCCCAGCCCTATTTTGTATTTTATTTAGAGACGGTGTCTCACTGAGTTGCTTATTACTGAGGCTGGCTTTGAACTTGCAATCCTCCTGTCTCAGCCTCGTGAGCCACTGGGATTAACAGGTGTATGCATRGCACCCAGCCTCATATGTCGTTTTAAAAATGCTAAATGTACTAGTGGGAGTGTAATTTAAGTGGCTTCCTACACAAGCATGCATTACTGTTAAAACTATATATCATTGTGTTTCACCTTAAAAATGATTGCAATGTTTATTTTATACAGTTAACCTGGAGGAGTGCTTTAAATCTGCAAATATCATTCACTCAAGTGATCCTGATTTCCAAATTTTAGAAGATGGTTCAGTCTATACAACCAATGCTGTTCTCCTGTCCTCAGAAACAAGGAGTTTTACCATATTACTTTTTAACACGGACAGCCAAGAGGAGAAGGAAATATCTGTCCTTTTAGAGAAAGAAACACAGGTATATGAAAATAATATGAACAAAGTATAATGATGTCTCGTCTTTAGGTTTTATAATATTGACAGGGTAGAAGTGGAATCAGAAAAGATATGGAATGGTTTGGTTTGAATAATGAAAACAATGAAACAACAGTGTGTAAGTGAAAAAGGGCTGTATAAGGYAGTTTGTTAAAGGTTGTATTCCTTCTCATTTAGGACATGAAAGGAGAAATTGGGATAAGCTACAGCATGAGAATTTGAGATTAGACACAAAGAAATATTTGCTGATTTTTTCTATAGCATGGATTTCCAAAAGCAAAATTTGAAACTCTGTCTCTAGTAAAGAAAAATGTTCCTTTTTTTCTCATGCATCTTAGCATAACTTGTAGTCTTAAATAGATGGCTGTTTTAGGAGGATGGACCACATGCATGCTTATTATCTTGTGACACCAAAAATCAAGGTGTCTTCGATTCAGCATTGATCGTTCCTTACTGCAGTAATTGAGAGGTGTCACCATATTTCTCTCCTCATTCTGACACAGATCTCTTTGTTGGCCCCCTGGCTCTGCTTAGTTGCTGGTGAGTGGAAGATGCTTATGCTAAATTTGGAAGGGCACATACTCACTTCTTTTCTTTGCATATGCCTCCTCCTGTGTTTTGGCATGGCAATGTGGCAACAGTCATTTTCTTTTTAGTTTTGCTTCTAGGTTTCCAATTCCATCTCTCTTTCTTCCACATTTCCACCAAGTTATTCTCTCAAAAAGGATTATTGTCATCACAGCTATGCAGCTATTTGTTTTTTTTTTATTCTCTTTATGCAGTGTTGATATTCCATTTGGTTTTCAAGCACTACTGTCTTATACCTCCCCAGCTAATCCTCATGAGAGAAGATGTGTCTGACTTCTAATGTTTGAGACTAAAGTGGTCATTGACTTTATTTGTTGATGTATTTCTATCTTCTAAATTGAGGTACAAAAGAGAAGACATTCTAAAGAAAAAGTTCTAAGACGTGGCAAGAGAAGATGGGCTCCTATTCCTTGTTCCATGATGGAGAATTCCTTGGGTCCTTTCCCACTTTTTCTTCAACAGGTACAGTATATTTTCCCTCTGCTGTAAAATCCATTGTTTCCATATTAACATCAAAATTTGACATTGATCATGCAGTTATTTAGAAATAATTGTGTCAGGGTGTAGGATRTACCTCTGTGGCAGAGCACTTGCCTAGCATACACAAGATCCCGGGTTCAGTTCCCAGCTATGCAAAAAAAAAAAAAAAAAGTCATATAAAAGTGATATCATATGAATATTTGATTGCATGGGGATATGTATACATGTTCAGCATATGGATACAAATATATTTATTTATACCGTTAAACACTTTTTTTGTAGCTTGAGTTATGCAGAGGCTAGCTCTCGAACTATAAAAACCATCTAGCTCTTTCAAGCACATTTCTTTAATGATTTCTTTTTTTAATCAACAGAGGAATCACAGATCTTTGGCACAGCCTAGAAAAATTTCCAGGTGTCTTCCATAATAAAGAATGAAATTGCAAATGCCACGAAAGAGGAAGATACATCTGCCTTTCCATTATCAAGTCCATTTCTTAAATCCCACCAAATGCACATTTTCTCTTTTCCTTTTTAACATTTAGTGGACACCCSAGTCAATCTTCTTCCCTTCTTCCACTATTAGTGGCCACTATCACTCAATCTATGACTTGGGTTTCTTTTCCTTTAATTTCTGAAATGGTGAGGGAGATTCTTCCTTTATACCCCACCAACAAACTGAATGCAGCTCAGAGGAGAACAAATTAAAGTGGAGAAAAATTTGTTAGGAAATAATTGTGTTAGTCATCCTGAGATAATGACAGTCAARATCTCAAAGAGAAAATGAAAACAGCTTGGAAGAAATTTTTTATGAATCAAGGACCAAATATTACCCTTGCCTGGATATTATACCATTTTTATTCTCCTTCACATATTTTTTTTCACTTAGCTCTTATTATCTTCCTTATTATAACAAATACTAAAACTCAGCRAGGAAGTAGTATACTTTAAACCCACTTTCTTATTTTGTCACTTATAAAAAAATAAATTTTTCTTTTTAAAATAGCCAAGTAATTTTTCATGCTCAGAATATTTTGTTTTCTAATACAGGAAAARCTTTTAAATATTGATTCACATACATACCATTTAGCATTAATATATTTATTAGTTATTCTTGGAAACCAAGATTCTACTACATCATTTTGCTCTTGGCTTTTTCTTAAAACTTCTCAATCATGAGGCTTTTATATGTATAATCATAAATTAAAGAGGGTAATATTTATTGTGATAAAATTGAGAATGTGATTGTACAAATATACAGGTAAAAGTTGTGCTGAAATAAAAACTTGTCTCATAATTATATCTACTCTCTAGGTCCAATCTGACGTAGCCCAAAACTACACCATATACTATTCCATTAAAGGGCCTGGAGTTGACCAAGAACCTCTAAATTTATTTTATGTGGAGAGGGATACTGGAAACCTGTATTGTACTCAACGGGTAGATCGTGAGCAATATGAATCTTTTGAGGTAAAACTTAAAGTTTGTGTGTTATATTAATGGTTATTAAGCTTGGCCATTGTTTCTCACATCTCTAATTCATTTACCCTTTTCTATTTTGTGAATTTGTCATTAATACTCTGGCTTTATCTGATAGCACAGCAGTGACTTGAAACATAAGAATTTTCATGACAATCCTATAAGATTGTTCCCAGGATTATGGTTTTACTCTTTGTTTTTGATTTTTGTTGTTTTTCTTTCAAAAGAAAAAAAATAAGTATCATTTTGAGAACAGGTCTTGAGTTGGTAGAAAAGATTCGTGAACCTCTTTATAGTACAGAGGTAACATGGGAGGTAAATGAGGCTCAGAAGTGACATATACCTGAGAACCWTTGCAATAGGATCCATGGGATCAAGTAAGGAGTGTGGCCWGTGCTTAATGTGCTTCATTCAGTCTTCTCCAGTCTCTGTATCTCTTTCCTGTGGTGCAATGTGAGTTCACGTGTGAGAACTTGACCTCATGCTTGTTTTATTTCCCAACAGGACCTGGTCCTCTTGCTTAACTCAGTTTTTTATTATTTTACATCTATTTTAGATGAATTAATATTCATCAGAAAATCAAATTAACCYACCAGATAGATAAATTTTGGATTAAGTGTTTAGGTTTAAGATTTCTATGATATGACCTTCTAAGTATTTGTGATGCTCTATGTCTATGATATCTATTATGAAAAAAAATTAGAATTGAAATTCATATTATGGAATCACAAGAATGGAATATGTTCCATACATAATTTATAGCCATTCATRTGTTCTGTTTCTGAATCTTGCTTTTCAAATTAAAAAATGATTAGGAAAATACTAATCTAAGTATAAACATTGATATGCATAGGGTTTTAATTAGTAGAAAATAAGATAATATATAGTTAAATCCACCTRGAGAATTTATAGTCCTGATGATCTAAGTTAAGAAAGACCCAGAAAGTTGTATTAAAATCCTTGCACCCAAAACTTTCAAACAAAACAAAATCCTCAAGCCTTTTTTGAAAATAATAACAAGAAAGTTATACTTATGAACAACATATAGCAATGGTGAGGAAATTAAAATGATCTATGTTTCTATATTAGATAAATTTAAGCATCAAGTGCTCAACTTCACCAAGGAATTAACAACCTCTTTTGGCCTTAAAGTTATGTCCACATTCAAAATCAGTAACAARTGGTGAGACAAACATTGCAGTTCTGAACAATCTCCAAATTAAAGTCCAAGCAAGTTGAAGCCATACTTTATTTTAGAGAATAATTTGGGGAACTGAGGGTATAGYTCAGTGGTAAAGCATGCATTTAGCATATGCAATGCATATGATCTCCAGCACTATACACACAAAATGTATTATTTTCACTCAATTCACAGCTAACTGCCTTTGCAACAACTCCAGATGGTTATACACCAGAATATCCATTGCCTCTGATAATCAAAGTAGAGGATGAAAATGATAATGCCCCGATTTTTACAGAAACAACATACACTTTTATGATTCTTGAAAGCTGCAAAGTTGGTGAGTATCCACTTTGATGATAGAAGACAATTTTAATGCATTTCAGCTCATGAACTGAGTTTCACTATGGCCACTAGAAAGCAGTATATAGTGGTGGTTGGAACACTGAGTGGAATTTTACTTTACCTTTCATTAGTTGTCCTTGCTCAAGCTTCCTAGTTTTGACAAGCCTTAATTTCCTGATCTGTAAAATGGGGTTTCAGTATGCCAGATTACTGTGAAGATTAAATGAAGCATAACATAAATGGAATGGAAATCACAGTGCCTCAGAAACAGGAGTTAATAAAAGTTTTTTTGCCTTTTTTTTTATAGTAGGGCAAATAAATGCTTGTAAGAGAGCATACTCCAAAAAATGAGTCATTGAGTAATTGGACATAGTCCTAAAGGTGTCTACTGGTGTTCTATAATGGTTAARTGAGTGATGATATTCTGGGGGTGGTTATGAAAGTCATTGAGAATAATACAAAYGTTTTCTCAATCTTGCAAAAACAGTCCATTTTATCTGGAAATCAGAATGAGCTTTTCTTTAGAAAGACCCAACTGCACCATCAATTTTCAAAGAAAACTGGCTCATGTGGTTGAATATAAGCTTGCAAATAAAAAAAGGCTAGGGCATAATTAGAATATTTTAGTTTAGAAATGCAAAGATCRTAAGGTGTTATATCAACACTTATAAATTCATATGTGAAGTACAATTAAATAGATTTAATTACCAAACTCTACAATGTAGCAATGCTGTTTTTCTTAAAATTTGTTCTAATTAGTTACACATGACAATAGAGTGCATTTAGATATACATACATAAATGGWGTATAACTTCTCATTCTTCTGGTTGTACATGTTGTAGAATCACACTGACCATGCAATCATATATGTACATAGGGTAATAATGTCCAATTAATTCTATAATCTTTTCTACTTCCATACCCCCTCCCCCCTTTCACTCCCATCTGCCTAATCCAAAGTACCTCTATTTTTCCCTAGCCACCCCCTCTTATTGTGAATTAGCATTTGCATATCAGAGAAAACAATTTTTTTGAGTTATGTGAAGAGTGAAGTCAGTAAGAATTTGATTATATGAAAGCTTTGACAATTAAATAGGTTGTTTTATTCACAATTAGGTTCCATCGTGGGACAGGTGTCTGCAACTGACAAAGATGAGCCCGACACGATGCACACACGTCTGAGGTACTCCATCCTGGAGCAGCTCCCGTCCTCACCCACACTCTTCTCTATGCATCCATCTACAGGGGTGATCACCACATTGTCATCTCAGCTTGACAGAGAGGTAACAGAATTATTAACAAGTACTACTTGATTGTAATGTGGCTATTTCATAGTACAGGTTAATTTTCCCTAATCTGAAGATCTGACATCTGAAATATTCACACTGTTTTGAGAAACGAAAAGAGATCACGAGTGGAAAATTCTATACCTGATCTCATGGGATAGATCACCATCAAAACAGAGGCATAGTAATATGTGCAGAGTAAGCAGGTTATAGTGGCACACAACCTGCAATCCCAGAGATTTGGGAGGCTGTGGCAGGAGGCTTTCAAATTTGGAGGTCAGGCTCAGCAACTTATGAGACTTTGTCTAAAAATAAAATAATAATAAAAAAGGATTGGAGAGGTAGCTCTGTGGTAGATGCCCCTGGGGTCAATCCCCAGTGCCCTCAAATATACAAACTCAACAACAACAACAACAAAGCAAACAAACAACAACAACCAAAAAAAAAAAAAAACCCACAGGCACAAGCTATGTAAAAATGAAATACAAATGAATTTTGGGTTAATGTGGGTCCTATCACCAAGTTATCAAATCCTRTGTATGCAGATATTCCAAAAATCTAAAAAAATCTGAAAAACAAAACACTTCTCATCCCAACTATTTCAGAAAAGGACATTCTACCTGTATCTGGTTATCTCTGTATACCATCTCTAAGTGTGTGGTTTTTTTTAAAGATATATTCTCTTTTTTTATACATTTTATTTTTTCTATTTATTTTTAATGGTGCTGAGGATCGAACCCAGTGCCTCACATGTGTGAGGTGAATGCTCTGCCACTGAGCCACAACCCCAGCCCTAAATGTGTTTTTTAAAAGTATGATGTGAAAAAAAAATTAGAAAAAATATTGTTGTTATTATTATTGTTATTATTGTTGTTATTATTATTATTATTATTATTATTATTATTATTATTATTAGAATTGAAGCCAGGGCCTCATGCAGCCAGGAAAGAGCTCTATCATTGATCTATCCCTCCACTTTTAGGAAAATTGTTATTTAAAGTAAGTTTTAATCTTCCAGAGTGCTAATTTTTAATCTTAATTTTTAATCCTATGAATTTAATGTTTCATGAACCAAAATTTCAAATAAAAAAAATACTTACAGCATTAAACATAATAGGGAGTGTCAAATATTAAAAGTGAACCGTTTGGTAACATGCAGAAATTTGTTATCTATGAGAGAGATATTCCTCTTATCTCATGCCCTCTTCAGGGGTCTAATCAATGTTCTTCTTCTTACATAGATGGAAAAAGAAAACTTCATTTCTCTAACTTTAGGTTGCCATGTCCAATTGACTGCTAGAAATCCTTATTTTGATGTTTCACATGTTCTTTGATGTATCTAAAATTTAACTCATCTTCTAAACATCCTCGCTTTCCCATATTTTTTAGATAAAATAATATTAATGAATCACCTATTCATAATTTTCTATTGTTACCTGGGAGTCATATTTTCAAAGTTCTATTTGATTTTTACTTGTACCCTCTCAATCAAATCACTTTCCAAAGTATGTTGACTATTTTACTTTCATATTGTCTGTTTCCACTGTAACTACCCTCCTTTAATTATACATTTACTTATTCAACTATTACTTCTCCACCACATTATGCTTCTGAATTTTTATAGTAATTTGTCTTGTGTGCTAATTTATATTCCTTAATCTCAAAACATAGTAATATGTGATTATCTGGTATTTTTTTGATTCTTGAAGCTTCCTATAGATTCATTTCCTCTCTATTTCCTTATCCCCTTGTGAATGAGAGCAGTAATCTTCAAATTTTTGGTCTATGGCCCCTTTACATTCTTAAGTATTGTTGAAGATCCTGAAGACCTTATATTTATGTGGGTTGTATTTATTGCTTTTTAATCCACTAATATTAAAAGCCAAGGATAGTTTAAAATATGTGTTAACTTACTTAAAATAACAACAAAAGTACTACATATTAACACAGGCAAAATTTGCATAAAAATAAGTAAATTTTCCAAAACAATAAATATCTTTACTATTTGGCTTAATATAAGACAAGTGGATTCTCAATCTCCTGCTTTCTGTCATAATAAATAGGTAGTTGTAGCAGAAGTGTACAAAGAACATTTGACATTATATGAAGTGAGAAAATAGGAGATTTCAATAGTAGTTGAAGATAATTGTGTCTGTTCTGTAGTATTAAATCAAAACTTAATAAATGGTTCTTACCTAAACATTTTTGGCAATGCAGACTTTGAAGTCTCATCAATGAACTTKTTTACTTTGTTCCAATAAAGTCCATTAATCTGTCTCGTACTATGAGTGGATACTTCACTGTTGTATAATATTTACTATCATTAGTCATTTGGAAAACATTGGTTCAGAATTATATAGATATTCCAAATGTTCATGTATTTCATTAAACAATATTAAAGAAATAACTTCTTGATTTCCATTATTATCTCAATGGTTGATAGAAGTTTTCCCAGGTTCTTACTTTTGCTTGAAAACTCTAATTTATCCTTTACAAAAAATAATTATTTGTTAAGTGATTTGACAAAGTAYCTTCCAAATATTCTAAATAACCACATGAAAAAATAATATTCTGTGGGGAAAAAAAATCCCAAAACAATTTTTAAAAATCACAATGGCTGGTTCAGCTTGYAAGTCAAACAATCACACAAGTACTTTACCTTAAATAGATGCTTCTTGTAGAATCATTTGAAAGCATTTTTTACCACTGAGTTTACCCAGTAGTGCTCTATAATGACTTTTTGACTTCAGGATTCCAGTTTCATCTGTTGTCTATAACTTTAATGCACCAGAATTTCCCTGCCATCTGAATATATCACGAGTATTTAGGATAACCAAACTTCATCTTTCTTTCTTTCTTTCTTTCTTTCTTTCTTTCTTTCTTTCTTTCTTTCTTTCTTTCTTTCTGGCACTGGTGATTGAACCCAGGGTGCTTTGTTACTGAGCTACACCCTCAGCCCTTTTTTTCTTTTTTATTTTGAGGTAAGGTCTCACCAAGTTGCTGAGGTKGACCTTAAATTCAAATCCTCCTGCCTTTATCTCCTGAGTTGCTAGGTTACAGGCATGTGCCACCCCACCTGGCTAAAACTTCATTTCTTTATCAGCCAATTGATTATTTCCAACATTTCTAAGTTCACTGCAAAGAAAATATATAATTCCTGTTGAAAGCATAGTAGCACAAGGCTTATAAACTTTTCATTCGAAATAGGCCTTTATTTTTTTAAGTCTACACATAGTTTATGAGGGAGGAGTAAATCAAGAAAATTACATGTGTCAAATTATGGGAAGAAGGTGGCTTTGTAAAAGAAGGGTGAACATTTTAGGTGGATAGATTTTCACAAATTACTTTGTCTTGGAAAAAGATATACATTAGGTAGGAAAATAATCATTACAATCAATTTATGGTAGAAAACTAGGCAAAGACATATATCCCACTGCCCAAGATTGCACATGTTGTGTTTTGGGGTTGAGAACGGAACCCAAGTCTCCTAAAGTCCAGTCCAGTCCAGAAGCTATTATAATCTTGCTGTTTTATTCCTTCTGTATCTCAGTTACTCATGATAAATGGAACCATTACGAGGAGAAGCACATATTTTAAGGAAATAAATGAGCCTTTTGTAACATCTGATGAAAAACCCTAAAAGCTGTATTCTGTGTTCCATGTTACATTGCCCCAGACCTTTACCTTCATACTCATTTAATGATCTTTTTTAAAAAATGTAAAGTAAATCCCTAAAATCTTATCTTTTCTCTCAAGAGGACATTTCATTTTGTTTATTTCGGAACTATTGTAAAAGTCACTGCTCTATATATTTTTAATGTAAGAATCTWCTTGGATAGAAGAGCAAGATTTTGATTAATTGCCAAACAATTTTAAATGTACTTATAACTATAGACCTTCTTTTTTTCTACTGCAGAATGATAAGATCAATTTATTTCCTATTAAAGTACATGAGATTACTCAATTTTCACAAATTGAAAATTACTAGAGTGAAGAAGATTCCTTTTTTAATTTGTTCTAATTAGTTATATTTGACAGTAGAATGCATTTTTGACATATTATACACAATTTCTCATTCCTCTGGCTGTACATGGTGCAACATCACTCCAGTAGTGTAATCATATATGTATATAGGGTAATAATGTCTGTCTCATTCTACCATTCCCCATTCCCACAGCCCCATCCCTCCCTCCCCACTACACAAACTGAAGTTCCTTCAAGTTTTTCTTAATTACATGTGTACCATTAGATTTAAATGTACCTCAGGTTATTAACGAATGGAAAATTTTTTTTTAGAGTATAAACAAAGATTTCATTTATAAGGTTGCTGTTTTCACCCAGTAATTAAGTTCTTTCTTTGTTTTCAGTTAATTGATAAATACCAGTTGAAAATAAAAGTACAAGACATGGATGGTCAATATTTTGGCTTGCACACAACTGCAACTTGTATCATTAATATTGGAGATGTGAATGACAACTTGCCAACATTTACCCGTACTTCTGTAAGTATATGGTATTTATATAAGAMAAATATGTAACAGTGCTGTTAAATATGCACATCTCCATCTGTGCCTCMTGATTTCAAATGAAGTACCACAATGACATACTAGTTTGGTGTTGTCAACATAATTCTTTAGAAATTGGAAGAACAGGATGTGAAGGTGATCTGGCTATGATGTCTGTCACCCACTGATTGACTGATCTGACTGCCTAGGCAGATGTGGCCTTCCTCCCTGACCACGTGCATCCCTCCTGAAGTTGCTGTGCACTTAGTTGAAGGGGGTGACCTTTCCTGATAGAGGAGATAGAGGAGGACCAGTCTTGGGTCAAGGGTATAGGAGTTGCTGTGCTTCCTGGTAGAACCTCCAAAAACACTCTCAAGAAATTGGAAGAACATAGCTTTMTTCATATGGTGGTTTATTTTTCTGAGGGCTAACTAATGAAATATTTTGTTTCTTTTTATTATTTTTAGTATGTGGCATCAGTGGAAGAAAATACAATTGATGTGGAAATCTTGCGTGTTACAGTTGAGGATAAGGATTTAATTAATACTCCTAATTGGAGAGCTAATTATACCATTTTAAAGGGCAATGAAAATGGAAATTTTAGAATTGCAACGGATCCCAAAACCAATGAAGGAGTTCTGTGTGTAGTTAAGGTAATAATAAATTAGTAAATCAGTTGTTTGTAATTTATAATATTATGGAACAGCATATTGGGGCTTAATAGGAACAAAGAAATTATGTAGATGCAGGAATAACATACATACAGAGGTAAATGTAAATGCCTACACACACACACACACATACACACACACACATATATTCAGTTGTGGTGATCTTTATAAAGTCATGGCTTAAAAAGACCATTTATATGTATTCAATTAATTTGATATAGTATCCATCTTGTCACCAATATCTCTCAACAATTCAAAAGCTAGCATAGCTTTGAGGCTAATTGAACAGAGTCAAGCTCTTCTAGACTGTTCTTTCTTGTAGCTGGGTTAAGAAATCACCACTTAGTAAACTTTCYAAATGAGTTACTCCTAGTCAGACCCATAGAGAAGCTGTCTGTAGGTTTGTTCATATATATCCAGCATACAATATATTCATAACTTCCAGTTTCAGTATGGGAATCCTAAACCATTCAAACCATTCTAAGACTTCTTTCTAATATCATTTTTTATATCTGAAGAGAACTCAGTGCTAATTCAGGAGCCAGAGATAGCACATAAAACAAMCTGAGCTATTTTGACCTTGGGCAAAGTCATACACATTTCTGCTGTATTTTTAATAACTAGAACACGATTCTCTTGTGGATCTATAGAACTTTCTGTTTGTACTTATTCTCAATTAGTATGGACCAAAAAGGGCAATTTTTTTCCTTGCAGTGATGAAAATTAGCTGTGCTTTGTGAGTTAATTTCTATTTTTCAAAACGGCAAAAAAAATTATTTTTGAATCCTGTCTCTGTTTTACCCACCCCTTGCCCTAATCCTAAGAAAATGTATTTTTGTGAAGTCTAAAACCTGAAAAAAAWTTTTTTTTATTCATTTTCATTACAAGTACAAATCAGGTCAAATACAATAAAATCTTCTATCAAACTTGGTACTTCCAGTTTTTAAGAAAGGGGGTGGAGGGCAGAAAGATAGAAAAAGAAAGGGTCATGTACTTAAACTTTCTATATCTTGTGTCTCCCCTCCTAAATACATTTTAYGAAGTTTGGCTCAGTTTTTCTACACAAACCAAGTCCAAGTAATTTTTATTCATCTCAAGAGTGTAAGACAACCTGTCCTCAAAAAGGGAATGGTATAGTAAATGAACATTGGTTATGATATGAAACCACTAAAGGAGGATTCTTATTTGTTAACATCGATTTTAGTAAATTCTTCCTGAAATCATTGCCAAGGCCTGTTATACTGCCTGTGTTAAATTTGTAGTTGAGGAAGAGTTTTTTGTTTAGTTTGTGTCAATTGCACTCAAATCTGAATGAGTTGAAGAATTCCCCTCTCTTTACCACCACCATGATTTTAGATATATGTTTCATATTCTCATGACTGTTTCCAACATAGTACTTACGTATTTCCAAATTTAACAAGTGATTGGTACTTGTCAACATTGCCAACTCTTAAATATCTTGATCTGATTTTCAACACATTTCAATTGCCAGCCACTGAATTATGAAGAAACACAACAGGTGACCCTACAAATTGGAGTAGTTAATGAAGCTCCRTATTCTAGAGAGACTAGCTCAAGATCCGCCATGAGTACAGCAACGGTTACTGTTAATGTGAAAAATCAGGACGAGGGCCCTGAGTGCAACCCTCCAGTCCAGACTGTTCGAATCAAAGAAAATGCACCAGCAGGGACAAGAAGCAGTGGATACAAAGCATATGACCCAGATACAAAAAGTAGCACTGGAATAAGGTATTTATCATTGTTCTATTGTTCACTCCAAATTTATTGTGTTTTAAAGAATTATAATTTACTTATTGTCATTTCACTTATAATACTTTTTATGCCTTTAATTCATTGTTGTTAAATAGGTATAGGAAAATAAGTGATCCAAAAGGGTGGGTCACCATTAATGAAGATTCAGGAATAATCACAGTTTTCCGAAGCCTTGACAGAGAGGCAGAGGCCATCCCAAGTGGTGTATATAACGTTACCGTCCTTGCGTCAGATCAAAGTAAGAAATGTGTTTTTAAGCCTGCTACATACATCTTTGGCAATATACTTCCATTTTCAAAAGTGACTCTAGACACTTTTAAYTTTTTCCCAAAATGACATATAAGGTAATTGAGAGATTTGCTATGATTTATTAACTCATGTCTGCTTTCTAATAGCATTTCCAGGGTTAAATGTAATTATAAAGCAATTTAGTCACAGACATACTTGAAACTGTAACATATTAATATTAATTAGGAAAAATTGAGAAAATGACTTTGGTAAAACTAGCTTCARTTTATCTACTCATTTCTCTTAAAATCTTCATTTTATTGGGAAAGTTTATTACAGGGAGAACATACTTATTGCCACATGGCACACTTCTGGAAAGCAATTATAACTTTTACAGGAATTTAACAGTATACTGAGGGGCTAGAATTGTGATTAAACACATTATACAAAGATAAATCATCCTCACAGTAAATGATATAGTTATAAAATTAGACAACACTATGAATCCGTAAAATCATATAAAATGTAAAATTATGTTCTGTGCATCCTATAAAGTTGAGAGGAATATGAGTAGAGTGATTATATATAAGACTCATTTAGTGCACAAAATACACTTTTACCATACATACATTTGAACTTTGATCTTTTGTAAGATAAATATGCTAACTATAATAAATACGTTATTATGCTCTCACTTGCAAAATTAGGATTCAGCCATGATTTTGGAAGATGATTTAGGTATTCYAATTCTCTCTGAATGAATTCTGGAATATACTCAGTGACTACTCTCCTTAAATATTGTTCTTCTGCTAGTCTTTTCTTTTTTTTTTCTAGAATTCCCATTAGATGAATGTTGCTATTTTATTTCTACTGGAATTTGAGCTGTAATTTCCTTTTTAAATAATTAATGCATTTTCTTTAAATCTTGGAAGATTCTAACTATACCTGCTTCAAAGAAGTCTTACRTAGAATTAATCTAACAGTGATTTTGTTGGATTTTAACATTGCTCCTTTGGGAATTTTAATTGGCAGGCTCATATTAAATGGGAGGTATTTGGTTTGCTTTCTGCTTCTATTTTTTTTTTCCTCTTCTACTGTACCCCATCTCRGCTAGCAGTCTTGTAGTTGCTTGTACCTGCTTTTTTTCTGGCCCATGGTTCAGGACCAGTTTTGAATCTGGAGTCCCAAGTATTCCTGGCCCAYAATGGCACTGGAACTACTGCAGGTCCAGTCGCTGGTTATGACTTCCGGGATCTGCCTGGTCCTCTGGCTTTCCTATGTTGATAGCTCYCTATGAGACAGAGCCTCAGGTTTTCTTCTTCCTCTTCTTCGTCTCAGTGTTCAAGGCATCTTTAATAATTAGAAGGAATAACTGATTGAGAGACAGGACTCCTGACCCATGCTCTTCAACTTCATACCTAATAACRTCATTACTAATTTGTGTCCCAGATTTATTTCTGTCTGCTTTGTCTTTGACTCTTCCAGATTTGTCGGTGTAGTGCCTTGTACAGAGTACTTRCTCAGTAAGTTTTTGCCAAATATATAGATTAATTACTTAAACTACACCCATGGTGATTATTTCAGTTTGCAARTGATTTTCCATTCTTAGAGCATTTTCATATACTATTTTTGTTTTATTTTCCAAAATATTTATCTTCTGTCATTAACTTTTCTTGGAAAACCTTAAGCGCTTCTTGTAAAAATGGATATTGAAATCTACACTCTCTAGTATGGTTTTCAAAGATCCCCARCCCTTTTCTCCACTCTCAATTTCCTGCTCCCTGCTCTCTGCTTCTTCCTTTATTTTCTCYAGGTCAGGGATGTGTTCAACATGCTTTGCAACCTCCTTGAATTTTCCCATGCTTTCAAACATCCCAGAAGTACTATTGTTCATACTCTTTTCCTTTCTCCTCTTAAAAACCAATCAAAACTCACCTCTATAAAGATTTCTATATTTATTGTAGTGAATTCTTGAATTGGGTGAACGTACCTAATATAGTAGTTATTCTCTGCAATCCACTTGAACATAGTATTCTTATTCTTATTCTTCCTTTTTTTTTTTTTTTTTTTTTTTTGAGTACTGGGCATTGAACTTAAGGGGGCTCAACCACTGAGCCAGATCCCTAGCCCATTTTATATTTTTAGTTAGAGACAGTGTCTTGCTAAGTTGCTTAGGGCTTAAGCTAAATTGCTGAGGCTTGCTTTGAACTTGTGATCCTCCTGCCTCAGCCTCCCAAGCTGCTGGGATTAAAGGCCTCCTGTGATACTACACCTGGCCATAATATTCTTTTAACGTTCCCTGAGGATTTAGCTTGTGGCTGTGCTTGTGACAGTAACTTATACATTATAGGTACTCAACAAGTATTTAAAAATTTTCAGTGTATTATTATTTCTTGGCAAAAACTTCAAACATTAAAAATGTATTTTTACTTTGATTTTCCTAGATGGGAGAACTTGTACAGGGACACTGGGGATTATACTTGAAGATGTGAATGATAATGGCCCCTACATACCTAAGCAGACAGTAGTAATCTGCAAACCTACTATGTCCTCAGCGGAGATTGTTGCTGTTGATCCTGATGAACCCATAAATGGCCCACCATTTGATTTTAGTTTTAGGAGTTCCGATTCAGAAGTACGGAGAATGTGGAGACTGATGAAAATTAATGGTATGTGTTTCGAAACRTTGCCCTTTTCTTTTCAATGTCATCTAGATGTTTCTTGATGAAATAGAATAATGCAGTTCTCAGTTTGGGCAGGCACTAGGCCTCTCTAGTGTCTGCCTGTAATTCTATGCCAGAGTTTCTTTAGGCAAAGTTTCATGAGTTTGCATTTCCCACTCTAAGAACCCATCCACATGRATTCTTTACATGACAATCATATCCTACATTATAAGGGAATCCCTCTCTTTTGCATATTCGTCCTCTAGGAAGTGGAGTCTGAGGCAGTCACTCAAGCAGAATATGTGTTAAGAAATTTGCTTGAAATCAGCTGTGAAAGGAAGGACTGGGAAAAGGAGAAATGGAGGTGCAGCGCAGACCAGTAACAGCTGAGCTGATCCCATGGGGAGTCTGAGCTCAGGTCCTTTCACACTGGTTCCATGTCGATTCCCCGTTCTCTGTCATGGCTCCATGGGTGGAGGAGGCAGCCCAAAGGGATATGAKTTGGAGTAAAAGGGATACTCACAGAAGACACTGATGGCAGTCCTTCATTGCATGGGGATCTGGTGCTGAGACAGTGTCCACCATACCATCACTCCTGTCTACCCCTGTGTTGACTCCTGACCATTTTGTGTCTGTTGTTTTTCTTGGGATCCTTCCTCAACTTGGTTCCCAGTCTTTCCTTTAGACTTCAGCTCATAATGGTCTTTGGTGACAAGAATGGTGAAAGGGAAGGTGACATTTTCACCTTCCTGTCATTCTCTACATCAGCAATTCCCCATCTCCTGCTTGCCCTGCCTGTGGACCMTGATGTTGGTACTGCTGGTTATCAAGGACRAGTCCTGCTCCCTCACATGTTGAAGTATAATATTAGAGAGGCACGCTAAGGCAAGCATATAAAAGAGGGTTTATTTAAAAAGGGGTAACATAGATTTCTTCTGGGAGGGAGAACAGGGCCATAGGTGGTATCCTGGTATCCACAGAAGTGAGAGC